CTCCTTTTCTGAGATATGAAGTACTGACCTTAAACTCAGTTATCTGCTTTCTGTTTTAAATAGACAGCCTGAAGTCTGGCCTCTAAAAGATGTTACCCTCTCACACTGCGAAGGTGCTTCATTGTCATAGGCAGAAAGAGAGAATTATGTCACCTGAACTTCTGATGTATTAAGCTGGTCTTATGAATGGCCGAACTACTTATTAGCTTATCATTTACTGTTTATACCTCCCTCTTCCAAATAGACTTAGGTTTAGTGGTATGTGGTGTGCTGTATCGCATTTTCATACCTGCATTCAAAATGCAGTCATAAAAAACAGCTTTTTAATCTAAATACATTTGCTTATTTAAACCTGTTTAATGATGCTAAACATAAGCTCATACCTATTTAAATGTTATTTACCTATTTGACTTCTAAAACACTGAGACCTGGTAATTATTTTTTTAGAAATGAAAGAGTTCAAATACCCCCCATATTTTTTTCCAAAGACATAAAAAGGTCTACAGTGACTGAAACTATTCAAGACAGCTTTAATTTTATAATGAATCCACATGCATGGTCACATAGAATAAACAGATAGTCAGAAGTTATTATAGAGGAGCTCCCCAACCTCTTGTCAGACAGAAAAAACAAATAGCAAGTATCAGAAGTATGCTTAAAAAAGTTATTTTGAGCATTATGGTATTTTGTGCAGAGTAAGAAAATATACGTTTTAAAACTACCAAGCCTTTATACAATGTAATAGACTTAACATTTGTAAACGAAACACATTGTAATATCTTGTCTGGAAAATCTAGAGAACAGCAACATATCTGCATAATCCCTATCACTGTAGTTATTTAGTTTGCATTTGGAGAACCATACACAGGAGCAAGAAACTGAATTCGTTTCCGAACTATTCTACTTACTGGAGTTATGTTAGCCCACATTTGTGTGTGCATGCTTTTGCTGTTTATTTCATTATAAACTTAAAATTCAGTGAGAGGTGGGTGAACTCTTTTGAGTTGTCGTATAAGTTGCCTTTCTGTTGAGATACCACACGTCTGATAATGTTAGCCTTCCACGCTGGAAAGAGACACTATGTACTGTTTTTTCTGAGCTTTTTCCATTGATTTCCACATGACTTCCTCAATGTGCGTTATAATCCTCATAAATAGCCAAGCCTTGACCTTTTAGTGCAGTCAAGTGACTAATAACAGCAGTTTCACCTTAGAGAATACTGTGGAAAAGCTTCACATTCTTATACACACACAAGCACACACTACTGCTGAAAGATGTTTGAATCGTACTTCATCATTATTGGGTTGGCTTTATTGTTGAAACTAGCTCTAACCATTTTACTCCAACTCATAAAAAAATAAACTGAGTTAGATCATTTATGTGGAAGTAGAACTGGCTAGATTCCTTTAAAAATGATAATTACACAAAGAGAACATTTATTCATTTTTAAATTATCTGAGAAGACACTTTGAAAGTGGTCTTGCTTATCTTGCACTCGGTTGCAATTATGTCCAGATTTTGTTCCCATCTGGCAGCTTTACTGTTAAACTAACAATCACATGGACCCACAGAGCCCTGTACAAGGCCTTTTAAATTGCATTAATGAGGCATTGGAGTCTTATTGAGATTTGTACTGACAAATTTGTACTGGCACTATTATTAATTGTACAAATGTGACATTCAAGATTTTTTACACTTAACTGAAGCTGAACAATAACTCTTTAAAGTGAAAGTAATCTGTACTGGTTTCTGCGTGTTTATACATATATGTACATAGAGCCCTCTACATTTATTTACACCCAATTCTGGACATGAATTAAGTCCAAGAAACACATTTTGTTCACACCCCTCTAGCTCGTGTTTTGTAGCTTCTCCTCTGGTGCGGATTAAACTAACAAGATGCGTCTTGTAGAACTATATTTCGTAATTGTCCCTATCTATGCAAGAGACCCAACAGCCACCCCCCCTCCTCATATTTCACAGTTCTTAAATTTGAGCTCTATTTTACACCCAACATAACTCTGTCCAGAATGCTCAGTTTTTATTTCATCTGACCATAAAGCATGGTTGCAGCTGTCATTCAGACTGGTCTGGCAAACCGGAGTCGCCTCTTCTTGTGGCTGACCCTTACAATCGGCTTCTTCCTTGGTGCTCCATCACGAATCCCATTCCTGCAGGCAAGGCTGAAGGAGAGTTTTCAACACTTTGTATCCTGAAGGTGCCAGTCTGTGGTGGAGATTTCCAACAGTTAACTGTGGATTTATAGGTTCTCCTAAGCCACTTGTCTCACAGAATGATATACTGTACTTGCATCCTCTTCCTGGCACAGTTACCACTCCCAGTAACATTAATTTCTTGAAACTGGGTGTACAATGAAACAGCAGTACCTTTATGATTACAGTATAACGTTTAGGTTTTAAGCAGGACACATAATTCGGTTTATAGTTCACGTTGTAATACTATTAGAAGTATAAATAAATCTGAAGGGCAATTGTACATACAAGAAATTCCCAGAAATTCTGTTTAATTACATTGAACTTATTGATTTATTGAGATACAAACAGGATTTTAAAATGTTTTTGCATAAAATTGCGTAAACCCTTAAAATGCCATTTCTGAAGTTAATTTGAACAATTTACAAGATTGGCAATGCATTCTGTCTGAACCGTGTGTGCGCCACCCTACTCTCCTCTCCTCTGAAACCATCGTTACTAAACTTGTGTAATTTTGTACAGACGGTCCCTGTTATAAGTTATCCCGCTATACTGTACATAATTTTTCACTTGCGTCATTGATGAAGTATATAAAAATTCCCCATAATTACGTCGTTTTTCAAGACACCAGAAGCCAGCAATGTAGGTGGTTCGAGGATCATTTTCTCCTGGAAATGAAAAACTATGGTCAAGCAAAACCTAACATTCTTCTTCATGTAAAACATGCTGTTGCCCATTATTTAGCTTCTGAATCGTTACGTCCCAACTTTAAAGTTGAATTCTCATCCACACGCCACATGTAGCTTATCCAGCCAGTAGAACAAGCTGTGATTAACTTTAAATGCATGAACAGTGTGTAGAAAAAGATCTATCCTGATGCAGTGAATGAGTTAGTTGGTTTTGACAAGACCACAATTCAGGAGGAGTTGGTGACTACTTATTCATTTCAATTTATTATTTTACGGGTTATAGATTCATTTAATGTATATACACATTTGAACTGTATGTTGGGAACATATATTAATGTATTCCTTATGATATTAATTTCAGTTTGTAAGTTATTTCACTATAAGTTGCATCATTTAGGAATGTAGCCTGTATTACAATGGGACACTCTGTCCTACATTTAGTTAGCTAAAAGTGATACACATGCTCTACCTTATATTTCCCTAAATTGTATGGGAAAAGCCTCCCTCTTAAAGTTGCACTGCTAAAGTTTGCATCCTTATGGTCCCAAACCCCGAATATTTATGTTGTTCGTATGGGGCAAAATTCACCTTTTTTACATAATCTCACTACATTTAGGAAGTTTCTGGTCCCAACATATATTATATTGGGGACCACCTGTATTTTATTAGTTTACTTCTGATTTCATTCTTCAACTTTCAAGTCTGAAAATCACTCTGAACAGATTTAAATATTCTAAAGGATATGTCTTACGCACATGTTTTAGTGTTTAATTTATTTAATGTATTACGTCAGCTCGTTTTTAAGTATCGTGGGGCATGTCTACAACATAGTATGTACGTAAGTCAACTACTTTTTATGACCAGAACTTCAAAAAGAAACAGCATTAACAAAACAGATCAGTTCACGTGTAAAGATATGCTTTTTTTACTTCAAAGTAAACAATGGTTTCTTTTTGATCTTCATTTTTTTAACTTGTACTGTACATTTTCTGGCCACACGTATCCACTTTTTTACTAGGATAATGTATACAATTAATTTTTTTCTTAAAAACCTTTTACACTTAAAACATGCCTAACACCCTGCATTAATGTAGACCCAGTGTAGATTCAGGTGAGAAAGTTAAGAATCCAGACAGGCAGATACTAGGCAATACTAGCAGAGAGTTTACTTTAAATCTAGCACTTAGAGGCTAGTATAATGTATGTCACTTATATTTCAGTATAGAAAATACATATATAAATCCTATTATTGAATCATGCTCTATGCTGTATGAAAATCAGTTACAAATATGTTTAAATTTCTTTTAGCTATTTTACATAAAGTGTCCAGTACTGTTATTGATTGCTAATTTCCCATAACATGGTAATACCAAAATGCATGTATGATCCGAGGTGTACTAAAATGGGAGCCACATTCATTAATTTTAAGAACGACTCAAATTATCAAAAGGTCAGGATTTCTAACACATATTCAGGTGACATCCAAAAGAACACATCTGTGACAAAATTGATTAAAAAGATGTGATTTATGTGTGCAAATAAGTAAACTGCATCCACCAGCTACGCTATGTTCAATTAGGAGTAGTGTTGCAAACAAAGTTCTGCGCCACTCTCTTATAAAAAGTGCAAGAGAAGAGAGAATGTGAACTTTATCCAAAGAAAACCGCAGTGTTTCAAGATTTACTGGTTAATGGGATATATGACTAGTTTAAAAAAGTGTTTGGGTTTGTTATTCTGCAATTGTTTTCAAGCTGAATTTCATTAGCATTTTTTGTGTTAACTTCTGCTTTCATTTATATTTTCTTTCCTGTGTCATTTGAAAACCCGCACTCTCATCTCACCAAGGTGAAGTATTCATCCTGATGTGCCAGATGTGCAAGGAACTCTGCAGCGATTGTGTAGCTTAAGTAGTAGCTATTTTTTTTTTTGTATTGGAAAAAGCAGAGCAGCTGGTTCCTATCTGGATTCATTAAGATTGTGGAATATCAAATATAAAACTAATATATTTTTTCCTGATGTAGTTCACAAAGAATTCTTGTAAGTAAATAGCTAATTGCATCTCCCCAATATGATGTCAGTGAGGTCTCTTTTTTTGCAGAAGCGACGAAGGCGGATCGACCGAAGTATGATTGGGGAGCCAACAAACTTTGTACACACAGCCCATGTGGGATCGGGAGACCTGTTCAGTGGCATGAATTCAGTAAGTAGTGGCATCAGGGTCTAATGTATTGTTTTGGTTGAATGTAGCCGAAGTCCTGATTATCCATGGTTATATAACATGTGGATGCCATTACTAAATCAGTAAGATGCTGAGTATTTGGGGACCAAACACTTAGCAGTGTTTAGGAACCAGTAAAACAGTAAAGGCATGTTTTATGAAAAGAAAAATCACAGCAGGATAAAATGAGGGACTGAAATGATAATTTACCATATACTAATTTAGATTTGCCTAGAATTAGTGGTTTCACATAAAATGTATGTCTAAGTTGTTGTCTGATGAGACTCCAGAGGTTTCACTGTAATGAAAAGGATATCGAGATACTGTACTGTACTCTAAAACTTATTGTTTGTAAAAGGAAATCTTGGCTGATACACAATACATTCTAGATATCATGTTACTCCTGGCAAATCCTCGAAAACTAGCTTTAAGATCAGAGATTTTCACAGAGCTGACACAGCTTTATATCAGTAGAATACCAAGATATTGTTTCTTTTGGCTGTAAGACTATTTGTCGGTTATTTATAAATTGATTTGCTACACAGACAATGCATGGAGATTTAGATCATATGGATAAAATGTGTTTCAGTGCCTTTTTTGGGATGAAATCATAACAAATTACTTGAATATTTCACAGAAAAGGATTTTAGACTACATATCATCCATTTCAGTTTGTGTTACATAAATTGATCTTACTTAGCAAGAATGCTTCTTTCAAGAATGTTTCTGATTAAGGTTAGATATGATATCAGTGTCAACTTGCAGAGAAAATTCTGGAAAACAAGTTTGGGGGTTTAACCTGTTTCATTCTTCACACTATTATTATTTTACAACTTCTTTGGAATGCAGGAATTATTCATGTCACTTCTCTTCCAGGTGAATTCAATCCAAAACCAAATGCAGTCTAAAGGAGGATATGGAGGTGGTGCCATACCAGTAAATGTTCAGATGCAGCTTGTGGATACAAAAGCAGGATAACTTGTTTTGAACGTATGTTTTCTAAGCTTTGTCTTTTTCTGGTGGGGGGTCTTGTCTGTCATTTTAAAACTGACTTTGCTTTTTTTAAGTTTAGTTTTTGTTTTTCATGCTTGAATGTATTATCTTTTTAAACAGTGTTAATAGTTGAAATAAAGAAAAACATCAGAGAGGAAGCAGTATCTTCACAAGCGAAATACAGAACAATTATGGTTTTTACCTTTTTTAGCTGCAGACAAAGTCTTCATACTGTTTATGAGACAGTTATTCAATAATTAGTTTTCTAAAAATTGGAGATTAAACTCTCTAGTCTATATAATATGCAAAAGTGCAAATATACATTTCAGAACCCCAGTTTAATAACTTTCATTTAATACAGTATATCAAGATTAATATATCATGTCCATTCATTAACTAAATAACACTTTAAGGATGTTATGATTTTGCTGTAGTAAGGATAAATAATTATATTTGCTTAAATGTTCAATATCGAAACAAATAGCAATGAAACTGCTGCACTCAGATTTCAGTTTCTCTTAAATGAAGGTTGAAAGTAAATGAAACCATTAAGATATGTACAAATGCAATTAAATAGTATTTGATGTCTGTGTCCAAACTAGGTTATTCTGTAATACAATGTTTTTTTCCCCAAACACCATTCATCATTGTCTTGTCTGCAGAATTGTTTCCCAAACCTTCCCAGACCTTTCTGCTTTTATGAAGAGACAACTAAATGTAGTATTCCTTCAACTGCTACAATGTCTCCTCCACATCGGCTGAAAATGTTATAAATGTTAAAACGTGATAAGAAATGTTATAGTTGGAAGTACTGCTGTTAAACAATGCGGAGATGAAGAGACGTTCTTCTCTAAACAAACAATGTGGCAACAAAGTCCACATTTTCATTATTCAATTATTCTGCCCTGCTCCCTTTTATCAGCACGTTTAATTGCACTTTCTTTTCTGTACTTTAAAAAATAAAAACATTAACAACAATATTTACCATTACCAACATCTCTTCCCACTCTTTTCCCTATTCCATCTAGATTCTCCCACCCACAAATACACTTACAAATCTTTACCCACCTTCTCCTTCTCTAAAGCAAACACCTCCCATTCCTCCTACACAAAACCTTAAAGCTTCAGCAGGAAGCTACATTGCAACAGATATTACTATAGATATACAGTATAGAAAGACAGATTATTATACAGTACATCTCACACCAGGCACTATTAACACACTGAATTCCCTTTAATGTGACAGAGATTATTCAGCGGTTTTAATAATAGAATTCCAGTTTAACTCTGCTTCTCACTAGCCCTGAAATCCCTTATTGCTTTGTCACTTTGCCAGGCACTTCCTCAAGTTTTGTCTGGCCCAGCAGAAAGTTTGCCAACTGTTCAAATTTTTTTCTCCTTCTGCTGTACCACATCCTAGACGATGTCCTTGCCTTCTTTAACATCTTGCTGTTAAAAATGTTGCTTCCTGGTTTCAACAAGTATAAATCAGCACATCACCATTTTAGCCCTGAATAAAAGTCATCAGAAACATTGTACCTCCTTAGCAAAACACAAACATTTTTGACCTGTTGCTTCTATAGTTCTATAGTACCTCCTCTCATACAGTACCTCTCTCTGTTAAACATCTGCAGTTTTTACTTGCTTTTTTACTAATACTAATACAAGTCCATTTGTTTTACAGGTTCCTGAGTGTATGTTTCTTCATCCTTGCCTCCTGTTTGCCTTTGGTGACTGCTTTTCGTGTTCCTCATAAGACAGAAGTGATGGTTGTGCTATACCCCTGTGACTGTTCTTCGAAGAAAAAAAAAAGTTTGCCATTCTGTTGGAAATAAGCTGCCTCGCCTTTCACAAGGTGTTTGGCTTAGGAAACATGGACATTATGTTTTCTCCCTTAATCTTTACTGAATCACATGTTAGCATGACCTTTTGTTTCTGCAAGTGCCAGTGCAAAATGTAACAATGCTCCTCTTTGTCATTTGCTGAGAGAAAATCTGCTTTTTGTTTTTGAGTTTGATTTGTTGATGTTTGAAGGTCTGGAACCTACAAGCACAAAAGGCTTAACATTTATCTTTTTTTTCTTTTTTGCTTTCCTGTTTTGCTGTCAGCATAGTAGTTGACTGCGTGCTTGTGAAGTGGCTTTGTATGGTGGCCTATCAGTGCCAAAATGCCTGTAGTTGCGGAATGATACTTTTGCTGACAAGAAATAAAATCCGGCAAAGTCAATGCCATTCCATAGGAAAAATAATTACCTAGCTGCTTAAAAATGTTTTTTGTCTTTTTTTTTATTTCTGAACTGATCTTGAAATAAAACTGGCTTTTCACATGGTGAACTGCTGTAAAATGCTCAGTATACTTGATTTTAAGAAACCTGAGTTTTATTGTGTAACCTGTGTAGGTACATGTGTATAATGTAGTGGTGTCGTAGTGATCAGTACTGGTGTGGCAGCAATATTTATAAACCTGACTATGATGCAACTTGAAACTTGCAGTCTTATGCAGTCACAGTCTAACCTGTTGCCTGCATTTATTAAAACTACACTTTTGTAATATTTTTTTCACAGCAAATGTCAGTATCTCTGTATTAAATACTTTGGGGCCATGAAGGCTGCCATGGGTAGTTCTCAAGCTGCCTGAACAAATGCCAGTAAAATTACCATCAACAAACAGGGTGACTAACTATTTTACTTAAGGTTATTTAGCTCAGGTTAAAAGGCATATTTTCACTTCTATAAAATGATGTACATTGTATAATATTGCACTGTTTTCTAATGTTAGTGTAAAAGTGTACCTTTAGAAAAAAAATATAACAACAATTGTATGGCTAGATTGTTTATTGGTTAGGTAGAATCTTTTTATGAAAAGTCCTTTTAACAAGATGTAAAAAATTTATAAATCTAGGATAATCGGAATTTGTCTTCACTGTTTCAGGTACAGTTTACGTGGCATCCAAAAAAAAGAAATTCTGGCATTTAAAAATGCGACAGCTGTGAAATTGTTTTGCAGTCTGTGGTGGAACTTGTATTGCGTTTAAATATCAGACTGCAGACTCCAAATACTCTTTTCCTAGCTTTTCGTTAATGGCCTTTTGCTTTTCTATTCAAGTATTTTCTGTTTTCTCAGATCAGCATTTTTTTTATTTTTCATTTCAATTCATGTAGTAGTTTCATTGAGCTGGTTTGTTTCACACAGTGGTAGCCTTGCAAGTAAATATCTCTTGTAACTTGTAAGAAAAATGACTGAAACGCCAACAGTGGATTATCTTGGAATTACTATGTATGCAGTAAACTACAGTTGTGTGCCAGACTTTATTGTTCCTTAGGTATGTTTTCATTTCTTCCCCCTCAAGTGCTTTGTTTGTAAATGTCGTATTCTTTGTATGCCACATTCTATGGTAGTTTAATTTATTCTTTTTAGTTAATTACTGACTGGTTTTACACTGATCAGCTTGAAGCTTTTCCCATTCAAATCAGAGGGCAGTAACTTGCATTAGCGCACGATTGTGTAATTATTTATTTTTTTAAGAATATCAACCAGCTACGGAAGGATTTCACAATAACATAACATCTGTGACAGGATTCAATTTTATTTAAAACAAAGGACGACAAAGCCCTTTCTCAAAAACACTTAAATAAATGAAAGGATTTAGTAAGCACCAGTTGTGACATTTTCACATTGTTTTTTGTGAAAATGGTGAAAATAATTAGAAGCACAAGAAGGAAGGTATTGACAGATAATCTAGAGTGTAAATATCCAAAAATAATAGGCAAGGTGTTGTAAACCTTATAGTAGTATAAATTTACTTTTACCCATATCTATTTCCTAATGTTTGTTTCACTTTACAGCATCAGGGAGTTCATCCAGATCAATTATAAAAAAAAAAGAAAATGTTGTTTTTTTATTTTTTTATGATACATATTCAGGTTTTGTACACTTTTCATCCCTCAGTAAATTCACTTCCAATGTTGGTTTGTAGATTACAGAATGTCTACAGTTTAAATAAATATTTTTTCCATGTTATACAAATTGTCTTGTATTTTATGTATAGTTAAAACACTAGCTGAATTTTGTGAGATTTGGTTCAACAAGCTTGGTTGGTTCCTATTAGCTAAGGGATCTGAGGATCTAATCTAACCATTTCTTGAGACCATTTCAGCTTGTGGAATTGTATTTGGTTGGTTTGTTCAGTACTTCTGCAACCCTTAGAGGAAAGAAGAGGCACCCAGTTGACAGTCTTGGATGTACAGTACTGTACTTCACCTTAGTTTGCACTTCTATGCTCTGGTTCATGTTTCACTGGTAGATTTTTTTTTTTTAAACTCCACTGGAACCTTTTTAATAACTTGGAAAGTGCTTTCTTATACTTCGTGTAATGTTAAAGCAAGAACTCTTCCAAAAACTTGTATCTCTAATGAATCTACTACTGTTTCCCCTTGTCCATCTATCTATTAAAAGAAAACCAGGATGTTCCCAGTGTTCTGTACTTTAATAATTATAATTAATCATATTTAATAGACTGCTCAGTTCTTTTTGATCTGATCCTTTTAAGTTATCCCACAACTTTTCATAGGCTGATCTTACTGTTTTAATACTGTTTTTAATGCATTGTTTTAATACTGTAGTATTTACTGACTTGATTCTCACTAGAAGCTCCCTGCTTGAATTCCTCAAAGGTTTTAATTACACAGTACAATATCATGTATATTTATAATGTTTTTGGAAATCACAATTGTATTAATAGGTACTAGTCAGAGTATGTATACAGAGTATGACTGCATTTTGCTTTTCCTCCACAGTGTAAGAATGTGTTTGGTTACTAGGTAACAAGCCTAACAGTGAGGCAGGTGCTCTCATTGACAGATGTTTCCTTGTGGTCTGGGGCATGTTTTTGTCAAAGCTACTTCTTTGTGTGGGATGTGGTCATTAGAAGCAACTGGGAACCATTTTTATCCTAAGACACAGGTCTATTTAGTTCTGTTTTCAGGTTAGCAATTTGCATCTCTTTAAAAACAGTGTACAGAGTAACCACAGTGTTCAGAAGAAAAAAACCATGAAGGGTAGTACAGCTGTCGTAGTTTATGAAACTGCTGCACCAACAAAGAATTAAGGTATATTAAAAATGGAGTTATATTGTACATACCTATTTGAGTTCATTGGCTTCTTTGTTCAAAGTTATAAAGTTATTTTTACATTAAGAACATGAATGAACTTCACAGAAATTCAAGTAACAATCAAAGTTATTGGAGTGTATTTACAACCAAGCAGTTGAGCCCCTAGAAAATTAAATGATTGTTTATGATTACAACAGGTTTTAGGCATTAATACACAGTATTGTTACAGCTGTGGATTTACAGTATAACAGGAACATTATGGGTGGGACACTGCAGTTGTATCCTTGAGCAAGGTATCAGACTGAGTCAATTAAGGATGCATCATAAAATCACCTTGGATTGAAACACCTGTCAAAAACATAAGTAGGTTAATACAAGTTGTATATTTTAGCAGGTGACATGATTGTTAATGTCCTGCAACATTAGAAATTATGGAAAAATATTACATTATTCTTCACTTTTCATGACTTTGCATTTGTATTTGCTTTATTAATAAGGATAAATATTTGTACATGTATGCTCTGACCACACTGACATCTCTACCTCCATATTTAGTAGGTTTGGTCTGTCTCTTTTTGTGTGTGATGACAGATTCCCTCAATCCTCATTGAAGTCATCAGGGTGCCCATTGCTATCGATGATGGTTTTGACTACTACTTGCGAGTCTTATCGATGGCTGTACCATCCAAAGTGAGAAGCACACCGTCTTCCACAGACAGCCCACACGAAATCCAGGCCTGTGGGGACAAGAGAAGATTTGACCATATGCCTCTTCTGTCTCATTAGGCAACGCTTGGCGCTCTCTTCCTCAGCTAACTGCCCTCCTTGATAGCAGTGCCTCCCTGGGTGGATAGTTCTGCTACTGCAGTTTCAAGGGAACAGGGTTTATCCCACACTTCTTTAGCTAGATCATCAGTTGGTCCTTTAGCCACCTTTTCTGTCCACTTGAAGAACAGTGACTGGGTTGTAACGGGCCGTACATGTGTTTTAAATGGCAGTTACAGTAGTCCACTTGATGGTAGCTTCAATACTCCTGCAGTTGGTTCTCTTTAGGATTTCTATTTATGGCACATGGTCATGGCAGGTCAATTTCAGAATTGGAGGCATTTTGTTGTCCATGCCATAGCTGGCATCCAGCAAAGTCCTTATGTCCCGTGGTGCTAGTGGTAGGGAGGTTTTTCTGCTGTGAAGGTTTCTATACCCCTAGGGTAAATGTCCCAATAGACACGGCAGCCTATCCAGCAATGTTTGAGTAAGCTACATTTCTAGGCCTTTCCCCAGCTGGTGTGAGTGATGTGGTCCTTAAATAGGGCTGCTCAAACACAGAGGAGCACCTAAAGTCCCATCTAAATTTCTGCCGCTCAGCTGAGCTGCCACTCGAAGCCCATCTGCTACCGATAGCCCTGTATCTCTGCCTTCCAGGGCCCTGACTAGTGGCTTCCAGATCATTCAATCCTGCCCCCATCACCAGGAACCCAAACACCAGTCGACAGTAATGATAGGGATGCACGTGGGAGTTCACTAATAGGCAGTCGTGCCGGATACCTTTGCGATGAAATTGTTTATAGTCATGTGGGGGTTGTGGCTTGGCCCTGACACCACTTCTTCGCCTTAGGGAGAAGAGCAAATCTAATCCAATGAACAAATCCAAGGCAACCAGCACCTCTACGCAGCAGCAGAGGAGGCTGCCGCAACTGGGTGTCGGTTTTAAGATATGGATGCGACAGAACCTTCCTAAACTTAACTCAAACAAGACTGAATTTCCGTTCCCAACATCAGCTTCACAAACATGTCAGTGTTGTTGTTGATGGTGCTGAAATCAGGCTTACGATGAAAGTTATGTATTTGAAGTAAGGAATGTTGTTCAGTTAAGACCCTCTCTCTGCTTATTTGATGTGGGCATATTGCAACAAATCCCTTTATCTCATGAAGATTAAACTACAGCAGTGTGTTACCTCCTGGGGTATCCTCTCTAAAACACAAAAAAAGACTTTTGTATTTTCTGAAATCTTCAGTTCCTGTGCAAACTAAAACTATTCAACATCTGCCCGTTACTCAACCAAAAACCAGGCTCTATGCAATGAGTGATAAAGCATTTTCATGTGCAGTGACTCCTTTGCACAAATCCTCTTCATACTCTGCAACTATCAACACCTTTAAATCTTACTGAAAAACCTCCTGCTATTAAAGCTATTTAATTTAGAATTTTGTTTTACTCTTAGCTGTATTGTGTCAATTTGCATTGATTTTTATTTTTATTCATATTTGTCACATACATGTTGTTATACTCAGCTTTGAGTTTTCTGATGTGCATTCATTCATAAACTTGTATTGTTAGTAGTAGTAGTAGCAGCAGCATTGAAAGTGTTACCCTCTTTTAATTCCATAAGAAAACAGTTTCATGGGGTGTTATCCATTTATTGATATCATTTCCAAGTGATGTGTTTCAAGTGCGATTTCACTTACAGAACCCTCCAATACAATTTGAAAAGCAGTGAAACATGTTTATCCTTTGCAAACAAAATTGGCCATGCCTATGGAAACATTGCCAAAAATATCTGCACTTTATTAATAAAAGACAAACATACTGTACATTATGGTCCAACGAGTTCCTGTCACAACAATGCACTACTGCTCTCACATACTATGCTTCAATGACATCGTTTGTTTATTGTAGGATTAAAAGAAAATGAAACCTGTTGCTGTTTTTCATGGATTATCTTCCTACTGCAAAAGCCACACAAGTATGTTTGAGTTATACCATCTTCTCCAACAGTCTTCATCTTCTACATTACCCTCTTGGTATTCTGTTGATTTAATTGAAACTGGATTCACTGATGATGTTAAAAGGGTTTTTGTGTCTCTGGCTTTTAAATATGCAATATAAACAATACTTTTAAACGAACGTATTAAACAAAAATCTGGAACCATTATAAAATCTTGACAGCTATTGGGATCCACTTAAATGTGTACTTCTGTGAATTCTACTCTAGGCACTGGAACTTCACAGGGATTTCTGTGTATTTTTGTATTTAATCTTCATTCTCATTAATTTTATTCAATTTGTTGTACACTTAATTGTTCACGGTTACCATGGTTTCCACTTCCTTAGCTACTGTGGGTGTCAGTTCTTATAATGCCCTTATGATGTAATAACTCCATACTAGTTCCATGTTATGCTTAATTTTGGAAAACAGTGAAATGGTTCAAGAACCTTGAATGTTTCCTAAAGGAAACACACAAAATACAGAAAACACACACACATTTACCTTAAAATGAGCCGATTCTCAAAGAAAAAGGTAAATAGATAAACAATTCTGTTGGTTTCCTTCCTCTTATGAGTATTAGCCCTTATCTGTAGCAATACATAATACACTTATTTAGTACCTCTGGACATTCCACTCAAAGTGCTTTATGGGGGCCCCACCTGGATGATGCTGCCAATGTGCACCAGTGCGCTCGCCACACATCAGCTATCAGTGGGAAGGAGAGCAGACAGATGAAGAAGGGGGTTAATAGGAGGCCATGATTTTTAAAGGGCAGGGAGGGAAATTTGACCAGGACACTGGGGTAATACCCCTACACTTATCATGGAATGCCCTGGGATTTTTAATGACAACTGAAAGTTTGGACCACATTTCATCCAAAGTATGGTGCTATTTTTACTGTATAGTGTCCCCATCGCTATACTGGGACATTAGGAATTAGTCAGTTAGTCAATAGAATGAAGATAATACTTGTTATTCTTTACTGTTTGATCTTTATAATCCTAATACATACAGAGAATTTTTTAAGGAATAAATAAACTATGACTTCATCCATTAGTCAATTTTCTCTGTTTAGTGCAATACAGGGGTGTGGTGAGCCAGAGCCTAACAAGGCTGACAATGTGTGTAAGGCAGGATACACCCTAGAGAAGAAGTCAGTCTTTCACAGACGCATTCACTCACAGGACCATTTGGAAATGCCAGTTAAACTAGGCCAAATGTCTTAGGTCTAAGCAAGGAAACTGGAGCCTTTGGAGAAAACAGGCATGGTAACTGGAAGGACATGAAAGCTTTATACAGAAGGCACCACAGAGTTTGCCAGAATCCATCCCAGAACCAGTCTATTAAGAATTATGAACCAGTCTTGCTGCCCTCCATGCCACCCTGATATTACTTCACACCTTCACAAAAATATAAACTTTAACTCCCATGTGTCTAGCCAGAAAATGAAAGCCTAAAGGTAAAAGCCCAACACTTCCAGTGCTCAAGATTTTCTGTTGGTTCAGACGGCCATTACTGCTGTTTCTTATACTAGGCAGTCGCAAACTTTCTCACTTAGTACTGAGAGAATGCAAGTATTGGAACTTAAACCTAGGAAAGGGGCAGCATTACGTCCCAGAGCTGGAAAAACATTTTCTCCTTTTGTTCGTTCAAGGCACTGTTTTATACTAAATACATCACTCATTTCAAGAGAATTTTGTGGTGCCGATCAAAGGTTCTACAATACATAACAGGATAATTGCATGTACATATTTTTCTTTCAAGCAAGTTTTATGTTTTGATTATGATTTAGTGAATGGTAAGGAAACATTTAGATGGTCACATAATAACAAATAGAATCAATGATTACACGGAGAATAGATTAGAAAAAAACTAGACATTATTTCAATCACAGCACCACCTACTGGAGAATAAGTGTAATTCCAAGGTCTTTACTGGTTAATAAGAGAAATCGGTACCAATAAAAAAATGCCGTAGACAACAAAAAACAAGATATAAACCTACATGTTTTTGTTAACCTCAAGGTGCTTTATGAACTTTGAGCATTGCGTATGTAACTATTGTAAACCTAGTTTAAAAGTATAGTTTAACATCACCTAAAGAATTTGCTAAGTTTACTAACATTAGCTGCACCTCCTAAACTGCACCTTCAAACTGCTTTTTGTTCGCGCATCTAAGATATATCTTAGAAACATATATCAGATTTGTTTGCAAATTATTATTTTTTAAATAAATAATAACATGTTCAATACATACTGCTTTTAGTTTGTTCACTTTCCTCAACCATACAATTAAATTTCACGGCATCCTCTGAAGCTAGTACAATTGAACAACTTATTCAGCTATTTTCCTTAAATCCTTTATAGCAGGGTACACTGGATTCAGATGAGAGGTCAAGCCAGTCCTCTCTTATGGATTTTCAGGTTTTTCCAAGCTGCAGATATTTTTTTTTAGCACATTACAGGCTTCAAACTCCTAATGAAAAAGTCTTTGTACAGTCATACAGAATTACTTTGATAACTTTCATAATTAACATTTTTCCATTACAAACATACAGACTTCGCGGGGCACAAAACAATTAACTGTTCATCTGCTCAGCGACAGCTCTAAGGAAAATTACTTATCCACTGCCTATGGATGGCTTAAAACTACAGAAATATTGACAAAACAGCACTTTCGCCTGCAAGTGTTTCTAAAAAATAAAACTCACTAAATTGACAATGTACTGTTACATTGCAAAAATCTTGCTCGACGTTTACTCACAAAGAAATTTTTAAAGAAAAAGGTCTGATTACGCAAAAATAAAAAAATATTTCAACTTAAAAGTAGTTTATATCGCAATAGCAACAGTTTGTATTAGTTGTAGCAGGCTTCACAACTTAGAAAATTATAAAGGTGCTTAGGCCCTTCTTCCCACACAGGCTGGAGCCACCAAAGGCACATAAATACAATTATTACTGTAATTATTAGTTAACTTCTATAGCTGCTCACAATTACAAAAAAGGTAGCTTCATTATCCACTTAAAAAGGCAACCACAAGAGACACATGCAAACAGGAATCCAACATAGTTGAAAGCACCCAAAGGAAAAGAGGCCCTAGAAAAGCTCTTTGCAAGAAAGAAAACATCTTCCTCCTCTTTCACTTTCACTGGAGAGGAGACCTACCTTTTAGAACACCTGTGCCAGGATTTTCTTTTGCACTGCCTCTGCTCCCAGAGCCTCTGGGCTCCCAATGAATACTTACTCAGCTCATGTCAGCCATCCAGATGTGCTTACTTCTGCCAGAGCAAATACAAAAACCTCAACACTATCCTTAATCTGTCTCGCTGGTGTCGTCCTTATCTTGATAGTCCTGTAGCTATATGTTCCAATATACCTCTCCTGCCCTGCTGTTTCCAGCAAGGAACAAGGCGAGGGAGGAACAGAGGGTGTGAATCCTTTACCCCCACTGGCCACTGTTTTTAAGTCCCCTTTCTGGCCACAAGTCCAGGACTTGAATGAAGAACAGGAGTGTCTTGGTGGTCGTACAGGGAAATCAGACATAAACAACTTGGGACTACTTGAGGACCATGTCTGTACACAAATTACCAGATGTTGTGGTGTTTTGTCTTTCCTTCCTCTCCTTTGTTTCCTCTTTTCCAAGTCTGGTCTCCACCAGCTCATGTGTCACCTCTTGCTGTGTGATAAGTGCCAGACATCTAGATAAACAGTGTGTCATTCAGTTCTGTGAAGACCGCTGGCTGCTGTTCTGTTTGCACTAGGCAGAAGGAAAGCCTTGAAAGCAAAGGGAGGTGGACACAGAGAGATAAAAATCACCATACCCGAGGAACACTGGCCATTATAGGCAAAACACATGTAAACAAAGCTCTAAAGCCACTGTTCTTCACAGACTTTTGTCACACTGTGATACACTAAATAAATGTTAACCTTAAAGAATTATTTCAGACTTTTAAACCAGACATTAATTTCAGATTACTGTAGACAAGGATTATCATTTTAGAAACAGCAGATAAAACAATACATTAACATCTCAGTTCTCACAAACTTTCCATATATAGTAATAGAAGGAAATCCTTCCAATCGAAAAGGCATTTCCTTCTTGTATTTAACTCTCATTTAAACTAGCTCTTTTTCACTTACGATTCCTTTTTTCTTAATGCCTCAGTTTGAGTTAAAATCTATTGTTTCAAGCTGAGCCACACCTGTGTGCATCTCATGTGTCTTTCATGATCTGATGAACCTTTCTGTGTTCTTCCTCTTAAGTGTTCTGCATGGTTGCTATCACATTGTTAAAGTAAGATAACACAGTATGCTTCAAGTCTTTCTGCAAAGATGACTGAATATGATCAGAAGGCTGAGTAACTTCATAGACGCCTTTTGAAAATTTCCACTCTGAAACCTGTTATCCCATTGACAATTTGGTAGGTACAAAGCAAGCTTTAAAAACCTGAATCAATGCTCATTTTTAATTTGATTCTTTGATTTATTCTCATTTGGAAAAGTCCTGAAAATAATTTCAATGTCTTTTACCCATAATACTTTGCTTTCACAGTCTACAGTATATGCTTAATAAAAGTAAATAATGACTGTAATGTGTAGACATTTCCAACATCCAATGAAGGTATATTAGTTTTAGGGATTTAGAGAAACACCCATATAGTTAAAAGGTAGAAGCAGGTTCAATCTCCCATAGATTCCCTCCCCATGAAGGAAAACAGGTTTTGCTTTTACATATGGTTGTGGTTATTGAACAACTTACTTGTGCTTAAAGTTTAGGTTTACAGGGAAATCTGTCATAGTGAGCAGTATTTTACACCAGGTCATTTCCAGCATCATTCCCAGTTTCACAAGTTTCTTCAGGTAAAACAGGGGGCTCATATGTGTAGGTCCTCCATGCTACTGAGTAAACCAATTACCCTGGCAATTTGGCTAATTAGTGAAAGGCATTGCATTGGCTGTTTGACTGTCAAATGGATATGGGCATAACATCACCACCCAATTTATTCCCTATTCCTTGCTTGTCAGATGTTGCAAAACAGCAGGCAGTAACAAAGATACAATTCATATGATCCTAAAAAAGCTTGTTTTAGTCACAGAAGCCATGTCGCTAGGCATAATCCTTTTTTAACTACAACATGCAAGGTGGTGCTTTTCTAGAGCTACTGAAACATGTCACGTCCTGTGGTTTTGTGGATGACAATAGTCTTCTTAGACGAATCCTGATTTCAGCAGAGAGGGCTCAGACAAGGCAGTATCAGTATCATGGTGTGGGTTGCTGTTTGGTGGAGTGGAAAAACGAACTTTGTTTTTCTTAAGTGTCATTTAATTGCTGCTGGTATTATACAGGAGCACTTCATCTTCAATTGAGGTGTTTTATGGTCTCACTCCAATACTTTTCAGGAAGACACGGTCACTTTGTCAAATGAAAACAACATCAGAGGAACAAAGGGGAAGACTTTAATTAAACATGTGCCCTGAGTTTGATGGCACCCTCATATGTTATACATGCTTGTTCTTTGGGGGTTCTTTTTTTTTTGTTTCAGCATGTAACATCCATGCTCAAATGGTTTTAAATCTGGAGATTAATCTGGCCAGTCCAACATTTTCCATTTTCTTCTCCCAGTGATCTTCCTGGTTGCATTGGCTATATGTATGTTTTGGGTTGTTGTCTTGCAGCATTGTGAAGCACTGTCCAATAACTATGGAAGCATTTTGTTCCTTCTTCTTCTACATGAGCAGGAAAATATTTCTGTGAACTTTAGAATACATTGTGTTGTGCTGCTGCCCTCGTTAGTTACATTATCAATAAGGACGAGGGAGCCAGTTTCAGAGACAGCCATGCATGCCATCTAATACGATTGCTCTTTCTTAAGTATCAAAAGCAGTGTATTTTAAAGCTATAATGGAGGAACATATGTAGATGGTGCACATTTGTTTCCAAACAAAATTAGGCCTTAAAGGAAAATTACAGACTATGTGATTGACTGAGTTCGTGTAAATTTATTTTCTCAGAAAACAATGTTCTTATATGCAACTTGAGAGAGCACTGGATATCGTTTGTAATTGTGGCCAACTTCTCTTCTGCTGAACACCAGCCTCCTTTCACATAATCTATGTTCCGAGCCAGAAAAGAGGATTCCAGCTGTCTCCCGTCAAACCCTGCATAGAATGTTAAGATCAGGTCATTTTTTAAACAATTTGTTTAGTCTGCCTTACGCTATTTTATAGATAAGATCCCTGTCCCACAATAAGATATATAATAATGCTTGACATTTAATACATATACAAAGAGAACAGAAAAGGCAAAAAAAAAGAGATGAGGTCATTCACATCTGGGTGTTCAAGAGTCAGAACATCCTCCAGCTAATCCTTTGTGAGTCATGTTTTATGGGTGTCCCTTGTGCCAAAGTGCAAATGTATTAATCAGCACATTAGTTAAAGGTAGTAAAAGGTAAAAAGTAGCATCAGTCAAAAAGAAAGTTTTACTTTATGGGTGGCACAGTGGTACAGCTGTTTGCATTGCTTCCTTGCAGTGCTGGGGCCCTGGGTTCAATTCAGGACCTGGCGTGCTATCTGTGTGCAGTTTGTATGTTCTTCCTGTGTTTGTGCTGGTTTCCTTTTCTGTGTGCACGTGTGCCCCACGATAGACAGGAGCACGGTGTACCCTGCCTTGTGCCTGTAGCTAGCTTCATCTCCCCCACAAAGTGGTTAGTGGGTAGAAAATGGATGGATAGATTTGCTTAAAATTATTGAAGTCGTACAAAGCTAAAAATAAGGTAGAGTATATAATGGACCAAATATAGTAACATAGATAGTTGTTTTTAACACATGCCTAATACAAACCTTATTAATAGTACTAATAATGAAAGAAGAATATTAGAATGTAGCATATCTGCTAGAATAATCTTGTCAGACCTCAGGAGTTAAATACTATAAGTAAGTAAAGGACTGAAACTGCTGATGTATAACCAGCTGGTGTAACACCTGCATTCCCCAGATTTCTGTTGTGGATTGATCCTTTGGAATCAAAAACACTGTATAGATGAACCATAGTATGTTGCTCCTAACAAAAGGTTCTTTTAGTACCAAACCAGCTTTTATACACTGTTTATCTATGTGTTAAGTGCCACACATTTTAGGTGTTGCTTAAAATAAAGTGTTACCATTGATTGACTTTAAATTCTAATATTTGCGCATATATATTAATTTTTAGTAAATTACAAAATACATCACAAAGAAATAAAAGCATTTGGCATCAGTTGTAACTACAAGAAAAGTAAAAAATTACATTTAATCATGCGATAGATTTAATAAGAGCTCTATGGCTCTCTGTAGGAATTTGATAAACAGAAATTCTAAACATCAGGAAATTGAACGTGTATATTGTGTGTTTTGGTTTTACATTTAGTATTTAGTATCAGAGTGTTACACTGTATCATCTTCACACGTAAGCTCCACAAATATAGACACATTTTATGAAAGATAAAAAGAAGGTAGATGTGGGTTCAGTAAATAACAATTGTATTATGTAAAACATCGTTCATAAAAACAAAGATGTGTTTAGCTACACTTGGAAACATCAAACAAAATAATGTGGGAAAATACAGTATATAGTAGAAGTAGATACAGTATTTAAAAAGCCTGTTCAATCAGATTTGAGGTGGCATTAAATACAGTAATAATAGAAATACTGAAATACAAATATATTAGAAGAAATAAAACTAGATACAATTACACAACATTCAAAATAAATAACTAAAATAAAAGCTTAATAAAATAAATTTAACTTCTGACATTAATTTTCATAATTTTTTCACTTTGAAAAACTGTAGCTTTGGGGTAACCAACCAATTATTCAGGATCTAGACATTACTGGATGTATATTTTATTAGGATGCTAGTGATGGAACAATAGATTTAACCAATAAAAGTGAAAGTCATAATATACTTTTGGAATATGTGTTTTCCACGATCATTTTCTTAATGAAGAAACAAGTCCTTGCGTATAACTTTAGCCATAGAAAGCCAAGTGCAGACAGAAAAAAACAATCATCAAACCTTTTAAACAAGTGGAAGCCATTAAACACTTGTCCTCCACAATATATAAAGTCAAGCCTAGCTCTTACCATAAAATGTAATATAGTCCAAGTAATGCTGATAATGTGAGCTACACAAAAATTATTCAATGGAGGTTTTAAAAAGACTTGTTCATTTTACATTTGTAATTGTAAATAATTGTTTCATTCATGTAATGTTACTTTAGGTAAGGCATTACAAAACTGAGTCAAAATGTATAAGAATGCTTCTGAAGGTTCTTACAAATAGAAACTCCTGGGCAGTTGTATATGTTGTGTATATACAGTATATGCTTTCAAATGTACGGTATGTGTGCATGTGAGACTGGTTAAGGTATGCCTACTGGAGTACAGTTTCTCCAGTCTGAGAGTTTCTAACTTCTTCTGAAGTCTAAGTGGGGTGATCAGGATCTGTTTAGAAAGTGTTCTCATTTTTCAAGCAGTGTTTGTATGTGCCACTCTCATAGCTGCATCACAGACCACACACTTACTCATCGCCTTCTTAGTTGAAAAAAAT